GTTTCTCCATGTTGGCCAGGCTGGTCTCGAACCCCTGACCTCAGGTGATCCACCCACCTCAGCCTCCCCAGAGTGCTGGGATTATAGGCATGAGTCACTGCGCCTGGTCTTCAGATTTCTCCTTTGTTTAGCCTGAGTTCCATTTCAACCACTTTCCGCTTTTTATTTCTTCTGTTTGTCCATTCATTTTTAACTTTTAATTTTCTGATTAAAGTTGTTTTTCTAGATTTACAAGTTTGCCTGAGGATATTTGTTTCAGTTACAGTTTTCTTTTTTCACGGTTGTGGCTTTTTTTTACATGGGGTCTTGCTCTGTCACTCAGGCTGGAGTGTAGTGACATGCTCATAGTTTATCGCAGCCTTGACCTCCCATGCTGAAGTGATCCTCTCCCCTTAGCCTCCCGGGTGCCTGGGACCACAGGCATGCACCACTACACCTGTCCAAATTGTTATTTTTTGTAGAGTGGGGTCTAACTATGTTGTCCAGGCTGGTCTTGAACTCCTGTGCTCAAGCAATCCACCTGCCTTGGCCCCCCAAAGTGCTGGGACAACAGATGTGAGCCACTGCACCCAGGCCATGGTTGTATTTTGAGGAAGAATTTTATTAGCTGAGGTCTTTTTATTCGTATTTTCTGTTTTTCTATTGTGTCTTTGTATGGATCTATTTTAGTTTTCATTTGTTCCTTTTGTAAATTTGTAGTTATTTATAAGATTCCTAATTTGATTGCCCCTGTTTCTTTTATCTAGTAGGTAATATTTTTCCATCCTTATTCCTACATGTTTAGGTATTAGATATACAACTAGATATGCTAATTAAAGGTTTAGTTGTTTTGCTGAATTCTAATAACATTAAAGGTGTGTGTTTTTTTTTTTGAGTTGGTGTCTTGCTCTGTCACCCAGGCTGGAGTGCCGTGGCACAATCTTGGCCCACTGCAACCTCTGCCTCCCTGGTGCAAGGAATTCTGCCTCAGACTCCTGAGTAGCTGGCACTACAGGCATGTGCCACCACACCTAATTTTGTATTTTTAGTAGAGATGGGATTTCACCAGGTTGGCCAGGCTGGTCTCAAATTCCTGACCTTAGGTGATCCACCTGCCTCAGCCTCCCAAACTGCTCGGATTACAGGTGTGAGTCACTGCATCCAGCCAAGGTGTGGTCTTTTGTGTAGGTTTAATTATTGTTGGTATTGTTCTGAATTGTTTGTAAAGGACATGTGGGGAGATTTGAATAAAGGCAACTACCATTATTATCCTCAGCAGATTAACTTTTTAATTTCTAAATTTTTTCCTTTGTCTTTTAATTTATATTATTTTTTGAGACAGGGTCTCACTCTGTCACCCAGGCTGGAGTGTGGTGGCATGATCACGGCTCATTGCAGCCTTAACCTCCCAGGCGCAAGTGATCCTCCTGTCTTGGCCTCCTGAGTAGCCGGGACTACAGGCACGAGCAACCATGCCCAGCTAATTTTTTGTATTTTCTGTAGAGACAGGGTTTTGCCATATTGCCCAGGCTGGTCTTGAATTCCAGAGCTCAAGTGATCCACCTGCCTTGGGCATGAGCCACCACGCCTGGCCTGGCCCAACCTTTTAAAAGCATTATTCTGCCTGTTGGGTGGAGAAGAGATTTTAGGTGGGCAAAGAATTAAGGAAACTAGTGGTTCAGGAGCCAGAGCTAGAAGTGGTGAGAAGGGGTTAGATTTGGGGTCTGTGTTGAAGGTAGAGCCCACAAGATTTGCTAGGACTGGATGTGTAGGGTGAGGAAGTGAAGAGAGCAAGTGTGACTGGAAGGGGGAAGTGGACTCACCAGCCTTGTCTTGTGAAGGGGCGTGGCCAGACTGAGCTATGCTCCTGAGCACGGCTGTTCTCTCTCAAGGTTACAAGCCTGATGAAGCGAAACGAGGGGATGCCTGTGAAGGCGACAGCGGGGGACCCTTTGTCATGAAGGTGAGCTTCTCGCAAGGCCAGGGCCTGGTGAACACACCTTCTGAGGGTGGGGAGAAACTAGTCTCTAGAAACAGTTGCCTGGCAGGGGAGTACTGATGTGACCCTGAACTTGACTCTATCAGAAACCCCATCTTTCTTCTTCAGAACCCCTCTAACAACCGCTGGTATCAAATGGGCATCGTCTCATGGGGTGAAGGCTGCGACCGGGATGGGAAATATGGCTTCTACACACACGTGTTCCGTCTGAAGAAGTGGATAAAGAAGGTCATTGATCAGTTTGGAGAATAGGGGGCCACTCATATTCTGGGCTCTTGGAAGCAATCCAGTGAATTATTTTTGTGTTTCTAAAATTATGGTTCCCAATAAAAGTGACTCTCAACGAGCCTCAATGCTCCCAGTGCTATTCATGGGCAGCTCTCTGGGCTCAGGAAGAGCCAGTAATATCGCTGGATAAAGAGGACCTTGGAATCCACCACCTGGTGCACACCTGTAGTCCCAGCATTCGGGAGGCTGAGGTGGAAGAATCCTTTGAGCCCAGGAGGTTGAGGCTGCAGTGAGCTACTGCACTCCAGCCTGGGTGACACAGCGAGACCCTGTCCCGAAAGAATCCACCATCTTCAAACCAGGTGAGAGGAAAGGGCCAGGTGAGAGGAAAGATGGCAGGTTGAATTTACAAGCATTTAAGATGTTCCACACTCTAGGCTTTAATGGATTATCTCATTTAATCCTCACAAGAGGTAGGTGAGCAAACTTGAGATTTGGAGAAGTACCTAGTCCAAGGTCACACAGCTAAGAAAGGTCGAAGTCGGAATTCAAATATAGAAAATATTGAGTCCTGTGCTTTTAGTTAAGTCTCTACATCTTTCTTCCTATCATTAAAATGATGTTAGATCAGGTAGGGCATGGTAGCTCACTTGTAATCTCAGCAACTTGGGAGGCTAAGGCAGGAGGATTGCTTGAGGCTAGGAATGTGAGATCAGTCTGGGCAATGTGGTGAGACCCAAAAAATAAAATTAGTTGGGCATGGTGGCATGTGACTGTAGTCAAGTTTACTTGGGAGGATCACTTGAGCCTGGGAGGTTGAGGCTGCAGTGAGCCATGATCATGTCACTGTACCTGCACTGCAGCCTGGGTAACAGTGAGATCCTGTTTATAAAAATCAGATCTGGGTGGGTGCGGTGGCTTACACCTGTAATCCTAGCGCTTTGGGAGGCTGAGTCGGGTGGATCACAGGGTCAGGAAATCAAGACCATCCTGGCCAACACAGTGAAACCCCATCTCTACTAAAAATAAGAAAATTAGCTGGGCATGGTGGTGCACGCCTGTGGTCCCATCTACTCAGGGGGCTGAGGCAAGAGAATCGCTTGAACTTGGGAGGCGGAGGCTGGAGTAAGCTGAGATCGCACCACTGTACTCCAGCCTGGTGATAGAGCGAGACTCTGTCTCAAAACAACAGCAGCAAAAAAACAGGTATATGCTCAGTACTTTTTTTTTCTCCTAACCTCGTGATCAGCCTGCCTTGGCCTCCCAAAGTGCTGGGATTCCAGGCATGAGCCACCATGCCTGGCCTGTGCTGTTTTTAAATGCCTTCCTTTGGCCAGGCGTGGTGGCTCATGCCTGGAATCCTAGCACTTTCAGAGGCTGAGGTGGGCAGATCACTTGAAGCCAGGAGTTTGAGACCAGCCTGGCCAACATGGTGAAACCCCATTTCTACTAAAAATATAAAAATCAGCTGGGCATGATGGCAGTCACCTGTAATCTTGGCTACTTGGTCGCCTCCCAGATTCGAATGATTCTCCTGCCACAGCCTCTTAAGTAGCTGGGATTACAGGCAAGCACCACCACGCCTAATTTTTGTATCTTTAGTAGAGATGAGGTTTCACCATGTTGGTAAGGCTGGTCTTGAACTCTTAACCTCAGGTTGTCCGCTTGCCTCAGCCTCCCAAAGTGCTGGGATTACAGTTGTTGAGCCACTTCGCCCGGACCTCCGTCCTTCAAATCATCTCTAGATTACTTATATCTAATAGAACATAAATGCTATGTAGTTGTTATATTGTATTTTAAAATTTACATTATTTTTAATTGTATTGTTTTTATTTTCTTTCCCCACAAATAATTTCAATCTGCAGTTGGTTGAATCTGCAGATGCAAAACCCACAGAACTGGGCCACCTGTATATTAAAAGGTATATATAAGGACTTTACTTACCTCTTATGGTTATGAGGATTAAATGAGAGAACTTACATAATGACCTTAGCATAATGCCTAGTGCCCAGGTAAGCTCTCTGTGAATCACCACTCCTATCCTCACTATTGCCTGGGAACTGGACTGGGCTTCGGGCCTGGCTGTTCCTCTGCCGCTTACCTCCTCCTGCCCTTGGACCCTGCAAATAGCCCATCAGTGGGGTAGTTGCTTCCTGCAATGTTTCCTCACACAGCAGTTACCAGCTGGAACAATTTATTTTTCCAAGAAATGGGACCTCAAATTTTAAGTTGTAAGAGTCACAGGCTGCAGTGGGTCATGCCTGTAATCTCAGCACTATGAGAGGCTGAGGCTGATGGATCACCTGAGGTCAGAAGTTGGAGACCAGCTGGCCAACCTGGTAAAACCCGTCTCTACTAAAAATACAAAAATTAGCCAGGTCTGGTGGTGGGCACCTGTAATCCCAGCTTCTTGTGAGGCTGAGGCAGAATTGCTTGAACTCAGGAGGCAGAGGTTGTAGTGAGCAGAGATCATGCCACTGCACGCCATCCAGCCTGAGTGACAGAGCAAGACTCCCTCTCAAAAAAAGAATCACAGAACTTCAAAGATACCCTTTCATAGCACATTCTTCATGGTTACCGTTGGCAGAGGTCACAGGTGTAGGATACAGCATGGCTTTCCCTTGAGAAGTCCCATCCATGAGCTCAGGGGAAGAATAAAGATCAATGTTGGCCTCAGGCACAGGATAGTGGAGTGGAGCATGGAATCCCTGTGGTTACAGTACCTGGCCTTGGATCTTCTTATGTGGTCTTCAGCAGGAAGGGACGTAAGATAGGGATCTTCAGCCCTTCTGCTTAACATTTTTTTCTCATTTTTCAACACATCAGAAAACAGGAGAGTTCCTTGCCCTCATTCTTTGGTTTTGGTTGACTGAAAGGCAGTGTGCTTGCAGGATCTTGGCAGCCCAGAGCATCAACCCAATCAAGGGAGAAGGGATTCAGAATTACTTGTAACACGCAGGACCTG